CCCACGGAGGGGCTGCAGGATCCAGCCCACCGCCTCCCCACCACAAAACAGCCACGCAGGGGGCTGCGGCTGCGCGGGAAGGGCACCCCCCAGCACCCAGCGCTGCAAATCCAGCCTCAAAGGGAAATGTTACAGAGCAGAGACCGAGTCGCCGTGCCCAGCGCCGAGCGAGGCGTGCTCACACATGTGTGTGCACAGGTGGCCCTGGAGCATGTGCAGCGCAGCCAGCGCACCGCAATCTGAAAATGAAACCGGCCTCAACTCCTTGCCGCTACTCTCCACGCCAGGAAAATGCATGCCAGCGATGTAAATAGGAAATTTGATTTATGTGCCGGCTCTCCCAGAAACAACTGTTCCCCAACCAGAGGAAAAGCAGCCAGTGGCATTTTCGGCTCTCTTTTACAAGCACAGCGCTATTCAAAATTCACCCCAAGGACTATTTTCAGGAGGGAGTGAAGCAAGGGGCTGGGAGACGCCCTCGCCAGCCCCGCAGCTCCCGGCATCCCGAGTGGCAGAAACACAAAGTTCCCACAATCCCAAGAGCGGGAACATTGTTCCTTCCCAGGATGTCCTCCATGAAAAGAGCTATTCTGAGCCGGCAGCAGCCTTTCTTGGCACGGCCCCACAGCCCGCTCGCGAGGCGGCTATAAAAGGCTGGGTTACAATGAACAGCACTTTTCAATGGGAGAGCATCCGGTGCAAGGGGCTCGGGGGGGGGGGGCTCACAAGGGCTGGGTGGTGTGGAGCATCCTCCTGGGATGGTGCTGGGGCAGCCCCACAGTCCCTCGCTGCATCCCGACCTGCCGGGGACTGGGGCAGCGGGCGCTGGAGGACGGGCTGGATGCGACCCTGGGTTGAGAGCGCAGAGGGGGACAAGCGGAGCAGTGCGGCCATTTGGGGATGGGCACCGAGATGCAGCTGCTCAGCGAGGCAGGAGGGTCTGGTGCAGGGAGAGAGGTGCGAAAAGGTCCGGCTGCAGCCTCCTGATGTGGGATAAGGGGGGGAACGGAGGAGAGCACCCTGATTTTGCCCTCCTCCAAACTGGGTCACAACACAACGTGTTCACAGCATGTCCCTTGCCGTGGGCACGCTTGCTGCGGAGCGAGCACAGCCATGGAAAGCAGCCCCGACTCCATGCTCACGGAAAGCCCCATGAAGTTTTCATTGCTGCCCTTCAGCCAAGCCTCTTCTCCCTTCCAGCAGCCCACTTTCACCAGTGGGGTAAATATTGCTGATTTACCCCCGAGCAGAACAGAAAGCCCCAGCCCATGCACCCAGGGCAGCACAGCCCCGGGGAGGACTCCAAGGGAGGCAAGGAGGGCGATAGGGCCCCTATCACACCCCCCCCCCAAAAACCACACCCCCACACTTCCCCCAAAAACAGCACCCACATATTTACAGCATCACTATAGAACAGCCGAGGCCATTTGTGCGTCAGGCCAGCACAACCCACAGCAGAAACTGCCCGGCAATACCCTGCTCTTCTCTCTGGGAGCGGCCCCCTGCAGTGGTGTGGATTCTCGTGGGTCTTGTAGAGGGTGATGGCACAGCACCGCACTTCTGAGCACCATCGCTCCCTGGGACCCGCTGGCTGCTTCCATGAAAGCTGGAGGACCCCAGGGGGTCTCAGGACCTTCCCTCCTTCTCCTTCAGCTGGACCAAGCCAACAAACTCAAAAGCAACAGAGGAGCAGGTTGGAGAGACCCCACTGCACACTCACATAGGCTGTAGTTTTTTAGGAAATCGGGTTAAAAGCCAGGAGGTTTGGAGGCACTGATTTTGCTCTCCTATCCCCACTTTCTCGCAGGACACACACACACACCCCCCCCCTTATTTGACCACCTGGCACTACACAGCTTGCTATATTAAAGGCCAGAGCTGGCCTTAATCTATGGCTCTGCGTGGGCTGAGCAGCACTGCAGACCTCTGGGGACGTGGCTGATGTTACAGCACTTTAATCCAGGGGAAATCCACCCATTTGGCTTCCCCTGATTGCTCCACTGGGACGGACGGGCTGGAGACAGCCCGTCCTGAACCCACCTCAGGCCAAATGCAAGCTCCAGGCTCGCTTGGCCCACAGGAGCTCACCAGGATGAGCCACTGCGGCCAGCTCAGCTCCTCAAAGACCCTCTGCCTGCTTCCCGTTCACCCGAGTGCCCATCACCACGGTGTCTGGCACCCTGCAGCCCGGTTTACATCATCACGCTCTCCTACACCCACTGCCTGCGGGAAAAAGCCCAGCAGCGTGGTGGCCTCTTTCGACAGGGTTTGTTTTGTTGCATGAAATGAATCGCTGTGGTGTAGGCGTGGGAGAAGCCGGGCGCAAGGAGTGCTCCTGGGGGAGCAGCTGGCTGGTGGTCCCTGGCTTTGCCCACGGGGACAGGGGGAAGCAGCTGGCAGCTCAGCTCCCCGAAAACCTGGCTCTCCCTCCCCACCACAGCAGTCCCCTCAGGGCTGGATTTGGCTCTTCCTCCTCACCGAGCCGTGGCAGCGCTGGCAGTACCACAAACCCTGCCAGCGCCGAGCTCTTGCACTTTCGCTTTGTCTCACCCGCTGGGATTTGTCCTGACGTCTTCGCAGTGCCAGGATCAGTCTCGGCAGCCCCATGGGGTGTGCAGACGCGTGGGTGGGGAGGGTTTGCTCTGGGTGAGGAGGACGTAAGACCCCTCAAAAGCCACCAGCACTTGCACCCAAATCTCTCTGGTGCGACACACAGCAGTGGCAGACCCGCTGCCCCGCAGGCTCTGGCAAAACCAAAACGGAATTTTTTAGAGGCAGTAAATACAGAAAAGCAAAGGAGAAAATAAAAGCGGTATTGAGGGCAGGGGGAATGCACAGGGACAAGGTTCTCCTGGACCAAAAGCAAGTTAAAAAGAAATCCGAGGCGTTGATCTAGTCCCAAACAAGTCAAAGCGAAACCTGCCAGTAATTTCCCAGGCCTTTAAACTCCAATCCTGTAACCTGCCAGCAAAGCCCGACGGCAGACGAGGACATGCGAGAGCAGGCAGTGCCAGGTCCCTGTGTCGGCCACCTCTTCCTCCGTCTGCTTTTCCTACCTAAGCGCAGCAACCCAGAAAGTCCCCGGGCCACCAGCCCACAACTCCAGCACATCTTGAATCAATTTGCAACAACAATATCAAAATCTCAGCTCGACAACTCGTCCCGGTTTCCTTGACAGTAAATCCCAGCCCAGGCAGCAATGACCGTGTTATTGCCGCTGTGGGAGACAGCGGGACCAGGCTCTCTGCTGGTGACCCCGCCGGGGCTTGGCACGAGAAGGACTGGGCACGCCAGCAGGGCACGGGGAGGCCGCCGGGATGCTGCTTGGCAGGCTCCGGCTGGCTCCTCTGCTTGGCACTCGCAGCGGGCACGGGGGCAGAGGAGAAGGGGGCAGCGGGGCCGGCAGGCAGGGCACGGCCCCCACGGGCAGGGCAGCACCCCACAACGGCAGCTGGGCATCACCCCACGGGGTCCTGCGCCCTCCAAGAGGGGCCACAGGGGTCTGGGAGCAGGCAGAGGAGAGGGGCAGGGCTGGCTCCATGCCTGCTACACCCCTGAATCAGGGGTCCCCAGGATAGGGGTGCTGGGAAATGGGGGACCTTGAGGAGGACAGGTATCCCAGAAGAGGGGGTGCTGGAAAGATGGGGTTCCCCAGGATTGGGGGCACCCACAGGGGAACAGGACCCCCGGGGGAAACGGGTGCTCGGAGGACGGGGGCCCCCGAAGGTGACCGCGGCCCCTGGACAGAGGGAAGCGGAAGAAGCAGCCCGGGATAAGAGCGTCCCCCCGCAGAAAAGGGGTGCGGGGGGGTGGGGAGAGGTCCGAGGGCTCGGGGCTGGCAAAGGAGAGGGATCATGCTCCCGGAGCGGG